CCCCCAAGCAAAAAGCAACAACAAACAAAACAAAACAAAACAAACACAACAACAACAACCCAACAACGACAAACATATCTGTGTTCTGTACGTTCTTTCATCTGTATATTCCAAACGACATGGTTTATCTATTGTATAACTTTTTTTTTCAACAAAAAAAGAGAAGAAAAGAAAACATTCTGTCTCTTTAATGGTTTGCTCCGTCCTCCCGGTCTTTTCTTCTTTGTATGTTACTCTCTGTGTAGTTACTCTCTAGTAATACCTCTAATTTTCGGCTTTTAAATGAACCATTTGTGTTGCAAATGCCGCTAAACTTTTACTGAAATAGAAAAAAACCTAAATCAAGAGAAAAGTACAGCTCAACAGAGCCTGAAATCATGGTAAATTGTCGTTCCGGAACTCCAGAAACTGTCCCTTTAAATTGCGAACGTTGCGTTCAGAAAGCACGTAGTGACTCTTTTGGCACACTGAAGCGTCAGACTGAGCACTGTCGTCTCCAGACTTAGAATCTGATTCCCTCGCTACATCTGGCCGCGATGTCTTATAAATAGAACCCGACTTCTCATTCACCCAGTACCTTTGTGCGTGGAGTGCAGATGCTGTGTTCAGAGAATTTGGCGCAATTTGAGTTATTTAACAGAGGGTTTTGTTTTGGTTTTTTTTGTTGAAAGTGTCATCTGCTACTGGAACAGTCTACCTCAGCAGTGAGAGACTTTGGAAAACAAAACCTTGCCTGTCGATGTTTCCTCCCATGATAAATATATTCTCACACTAAGTCAGTGATAAAGAGCCCCTTTATTTCCCACATTACTTTTACTATATTGTGTAGTTGGGTAAAGCGACTGGTAGGTCTTATATACTTCTTTATTATACCTCTGGGTTTGTTTGTTTTTTGGTGTGGGTGGTTGGCGGGTGCTCTGGTGTGGTTTGGTTCTTCTTTCCTATCAAACATCTATCATCCTTATCTCCCCTTCTTCTTTTTTATGTTTGTTACTCTCTTGTAACACCTCTAATCTTCTGGCGCTCATATGACCTTATGCAATTGCGAGCGCCGTAAGACTTCTACTAAAACTAACTTGTTTTTTTTTTGGGGGGGGGGGTGTGGGTTGTCTTTGGTAGGTCGTACTTCTTTACTATCAACCTGTTGTTTTTTGTCTGTCTGTCTTCTTTTTTCTAGTTTTGTGTCGATGTTTTCCCCCCGTACTCAAACAAGAGCAATTGTGTTGATAGGGGCGATAAAGCTGTACCATTTTCACTTTTTTTTTTCAGACAAGAGCAATCAACTACACATTAATATAATATTAAAATTTATTTTTAACATTCCCATTGTTCTTGTGTTTGTACAGGCGGTCGTGGACTGACGGGCACAGCTACGGTGACAGTGCTGGTCAAGGACGTCAATGACCACTCCCCTGTCTTCGAGAGTAACGGCCCTTACGTAGCCCACGTGACCGAGAACCGCGTGGCTGGCACGGAGGTGGTGAGGGTGTCTGCAGCAGACGGCGATGAGGGGCAGAATGCTCACATCTTGTGAGTAAACACTAGATCTAGTTCTCATTTGTTGTTCGTTTCGTTTTTTGTTTGTGTACATGTTTATTTGTGTGCATGTTTGTTTGTGTGCATGTTTGTTTGTTTATTTGTTAGTTTGTTAGTTTTTTGCATGTTGGTTTGTTTGGTTGGTTGGTTGATTTTGGATTTCTTTTTAGTCGATGCAATACATATCTATACTATATTTACAATCGCACCCATCTTCGGTAACAGTTACACCCTGTTTCGACTACCACCCCACCTGCTCCTTTGTTTGTTTTGTTTGATGGGGAGATATCATTTAGCAGATGCTACACATATGTCTATACCACATACAGTCCCACTCATTTTCGGTAACAGTTACACCCTTTTTTCACCCCCCCC